TTCAATAAGAAGTTCAACAAACTGTACAGAACCATGCTGTATTGCATCAGTTAAAGCACTGTCTAATTGAACATCCTTTCAAAAGTAGTGAAAATCAGAAACTAAGATTCTCTTCGTTTATAATACTCACTGTCCACTGAGTTTTAACGTTTTCGATGAGCATGTCTGAAACGGCCAGATCAAACTTATTCCACGCCATGGCTAATTTGAGCTTTTGTACATGAGCATCAGATATTTCATGCTTGGGCATACTTGCCGCTAAGTAGAAAAATCATTCAAAAATCGATAGGAATTATGTAAATACCTCGAAATAATGCTTGAAGTATGGCATCACTCAATTTAAATTCGGGATCGTCAGGACATAGTAAAAAAGTATTGATTAAGAAGAAGCCTTTGTCTGATCTTATCATGTCACGAAAACGCTTTTCATTACTTCCAGTGATGATGTCCTTACCATCTTCTTTTATTACTCGTTCTCTAAAATATAAGTTAATTTTTTTTTGCAAAAGAAAATATGAATATTACAAATTAGCTTTATTGTTCGCTGGTGGAAAATATGTTGTTTGATTATCATATAATGCTTTGTATGCTTTTGCAATAAAATTAGCCGCTCTGCCAGTACCCTACATAAAAGTGAAAATGAAGTATGTTCTTCTGTTGAATTCTATTTTGAATATGTACGTCAATGACAACGACGGGTGTTTCGTGCATTACTGCTTCAACCACTGTTAGAAGAGATGAAGGACCACCTTCGATTAATATTTGAATAATGGGAATCTTATAATCTATGGACGAACAAAACCTAATAACTAGACAAAGAAGAGTATTACTTACTGTGTGTATAATGAGAGCTACAACGAGCTTCCTGTTCAATTTCAGCACGCAACTGAATAGTGAGGTCGGCTCGAACTGGATATCCATATCGTCTCCAGGTTTCATCATTCGGACCACATTTATCATCAAGTAGAATAAAGTGAGTATGATTTGGATCGAGAGGATATGATGCTGGCTTCTCTTGTGGTACACAATTGCGATACAATTTTTCACGATCGGCTACTGTGCTAAATGTCGCTGTTGGCATTGCACTCTAGATCATGCTTTCATTTCTCGGGAGACCTATGAAAATTTTATACATACTCCTACACTGCTCAGTTTCACACGTCGTCGTTGAATGAGTTGTCTATAATCTATTTTTGAATAACAAAAGCGAATGTTGACCAGAATAGCATGTTCATTTTCTCTTACTTGTCGCATAATACCAACTTGCAATCCCAATAACAGGAACTTGAACATGACCTTTATCCACATTACTAGTGTTGTATGTCCATTTTTCGAATGCATCACCCACATCCTTCATAACTCCAGCACACGTTCCTCCAGTGAACACCCAAGCATCTATTCAAAGATAGGCATAAACATAATACCAATCTCGACTCTTACCAGTCGTGACAGCAGCTGAGACAAGACCCTTTTGAAGAGCAATGCGACTTCTTTGTGGTAAATTAAAGACTTTTGCACCACCTGTGACTGAAATTATTAATTCAGGTGGAGGCAATTCCCATTTATCGCGTAACAATTCAATGAGATGTTTAGCAGGTTCGTGTATTACAGATGGCATAGGAACAATAGTATGAATAGTAGGCAGTTGTTGGATCACAGAAAAATTCCATTGGCGATTCCGTTCTTCTACGGTAGTATGATTTGTTTTCTGTTCATGAGTTTCATTTTGTGACGCTGATTCACCAGCTTGAGGAGGATCGAATGGGTAACGTATATACTAATATCAATTCGATCAATATTCTTAGAAATAAAGGTTAAGATTTACCCATGATTTGCGATCATTCTGTGTGAAATGTATTTGTCCATAATCTTCAATTCTAAATGATACACATGAATAAATGAATAAATTATACAAATGAGATTCTCACTGTCTGTCGCTATATTGATTATTGTTTCCGACGACCCACTAGAATGTAGAAAACATATTCACATAGTTCAACGGTTGAATTTTGCCTACTACTTACCTTATGAACAGCCTCTGTAATGCGGATATACGATTGTAAATGTGCTGATTGCGTTTCAGGATTTTCCATATTGTCACGCTTGATTATTGTTTATCATACATCTATGATGCGAAAACTATCATAGCAGTTACCTTAAATAATTTTATCGAGTACAAAAAAGGAAAATAGTGTGAGAGTTTTCATTTTTTTTCCTCGCTTAATTGTAGAGACACTGACACGCGTTTGTCTTTATAAGGCTAATTAAGTTCTTCTGGATATGTTCAGTGCA